GAATTTTGCCAGGTGGGTGCTGTGGATGACCAGAGATAAGGAAGTTCTGGGTCTTTACACCTGGGTGTAGTGGTGATGGCGTCTACTTGATAAAAAGAGAAGGTGAAAGCAGGAGAGAGCTGACGGATAGTGAGAAAAATAGAACTGGAGGTTCTCATTAGGTCAATGGATAATTATAGTGGAGATAACAAGCAAGTAAGTTAGAAGAAATGGCAGGTCAGAGTGGCATGTTGGAATTAGGTAGAGGTTTGTGAGGTAATAGTGTTTCTGTGATGAAAAATCCAGGATATTACTTACAGTCCTAGTAGGAACTGATGGTTGAGGCTGAGGTAGAGGTCATTGGATGAAGTCAAAGATGTTGAATTTTCTTTCTTTCTTTCTTTTTTTTTTTTTTTGAGAGGTTTTTGCTATAGGGCACGTGCGCTCGCCAGACAGAGATAGAGAGACAGAAAGCTAGAAATCACCCCCCAGGGAGGATGGCCACACTGCAATTCCTTCTCCTCCATTCTCCTCTCAGGATCTTGGGCATGCACGCGCATGCACCTGGTGTGAGTTCAAGCTGCTGGGTCCAGGACTGGAGCATAGTTGACTCTGTGGGAGTCCAGCGACATAGCCATTATGCCATCTACTGGTCCCTCTGTTCTGGTTTTTTTTCTTTTTTTGGAGAGGTTCTGTTTTTTTTAATTTTCCAGAGGGCATGTGTACTCACCAGAGAGAAGGATTGGGGGAGAAAGGCCCCACCCTCCCATGAGACATGCTCATACCATAACCCCTTCAAGTTTTGTTTTGTTTTGTTTTGAAGAGGTTTTTGGTATAGGGCGCGTGTGCTCGCCAGACAGACAGAGAGAGACAGAGAGACAGAAAGCGAGAAATCACCCCCCAGAGGGATGGCCATGCCGCAATCCCTTCTCCTCCGTTCTCCTCTCGAGATCTTGGGCATGCACATGCGCCCGGCATGAATTTTAAGCCATCAGGTCCGGGACATGAACCGCAGTTGATTACATGGTAGTCCAGAGACACAGCCATTACGCTAACTGCTGGTCCCTAACCCCGTCTTCTATTTCTCCATCCTATTGAGATTTTGAGTGCACACACACACATACACACACACACACTTTCTGGGTGTGTTTTTCAAGCTGCTGCGGTCGAGATTCAAATCGTGGTTAGCCAAGTGGGATCCAGGCCCCTTATCCACTAGGCCAAAGGGCCATCTTTTGACTGGGCTTTCTGTGCCAATTTTAAAGGGACCCAAAATAATGGCAGGAGTTTGTGTGGAGAGGAAGTCATATGAGTCAAGTATAGAAACTAGGAAAATGACATTTCTGGGAGTGTGGTGTATAATCTCAGAGAGGAAGAAAGGGAAAAAGATATTATAGCCCAGTGAGTGAGTCTCAAAGGAGAAACAATTTTTCTTGAGAGGAGTGGGCAAAGAAATAATCTGGGGGAATAAGGATGCCAACCTTAAATTACATCAAGAGCAAGAGCCTCCTTTACGAGGGCAGCAGGGGAGGTGCTCTTCCCAATGACTAGCCAGTTTGCAGCTGAATCTGATTTTCAGTCTGGACATACAATTGAGTTACCTGAGGAGTATTTAAAAAACAAACAAACATTTATTTATTTGTTTGTTTGTTGTGATTTTGGGGCCACCACTCAGGGACTTGAACCTCTGGGAATACAGAGCCTCAACCACCACACCACCTGCTGGACTTATATACAGCAATTTTTAAAAAATTTTTTAAAAGAGATGGGACCAGCAGCTGGCGTGGTGGTTAAGGCGCTGGACACTCCCACATGGCCGACCAGGGTTCGAGTCCTGAATCTAGTGGCTTGCTTTCTCGCTTCCTCTCTCTCTCACTCTCAACGTCTGTCTCTCTCTGGTCAAATTCACCAAGATTGAATCCAGGCCTCCAGTCCCTGGGTGAGTCCTACTCCATTCTGACTTCACCATTTTTTAATGAACGTCCCATAGCTTGCTGGAGAGTTTTATGGGTCCTTCTGGTAGAATAAAAATAATCTTGGGGCCATCAGGTGGCATGGTGGTTAAGGCACTGGACACTCCCACATGGCCAATGAGGGTTCAAGTCCCGGACCTGGTGGCTTGTTTTCTCACTTTCCCTCCCTCTGGTCAAATTAAAATAAAATAAAATAAAATAAAATAAATAATTAAAAAAATACCAGTGCCTGGGCTTCACCCTCCAGAGATTTTGTTTTAATTATCCTAGGGAAGGGCCTAGGTTTCAGTATTTTCTAAAAGTGCCTCTGGTAATTCTATACATCCACAACTGAGAAATGCTGTGAGATGCAGGGAATGTTCAGATATAATCAAGGATATGGGAGTATTTGCAGATTGCACATGTCTGTAGGGTTTTGAAAGGGAGGAGAGGAAGGTTGGGTCATTGTCTTTGATAATTTGTCTTTTGGAAGCAACAGGGTGAGAGAACATACAGTGTTATTTTGTAGGCAATTTCTGGAATCTACAGGCTCTTAAACAAGTCTGTTTTATATTTGTTAAAATAGTTGTTTCAAGAATCTGGGACCAGCAGTTAGTGTAATGACTATGTCGCTGGACTCCCACGTAGTCGACTGAGGTTCGTGTCCCGGACCCGGTGGCTTAAACTCACGCCGGGCGCGTGTGTGTGCGTGCCCAAGATCCCGAGAGGAGAATGGAGGAGAAGGGATTGCGGCGTGGCCATCCCCCCTGGGGGGGTGATTTCTCGCTTTCTGTCTCTCTGTCTCTCTCTGTCTGTCTGCTGTGCACACGTGCCCTATAGCAAAAACCTCTAAAAAAAAAAAAAGAAAAAGAATTGTAGGAGGAAAAGAATACGTGTCCTTGTTCTAAATTTCTACTAGATAGAAGCTGCTTTTTTAAAAATTACTTTTAATATAAATATCTGAGAACGGGAGGACTTGTTACGCCCTGAAGGAATTTTTCCCTCCCTGTATCTGCAAGTCTGCTCCAAATGGATACTTTATTTATTCTCCCTCCTTCCCCCCACTCTTATAGTGGCACCCTCATTAATTTTCTTATCTCCCATCCCCATGGGTGTCTTCTTTCACATATTATTCTCCATTTTTATCTCCTTTCATCTTCTGATTAATAATTTTTATTTTTCTTTTAAAGTTTATTCTACAAAAACGGGAACAGCAGGAAAAGTAGGAGACAAAAAGAGAGCCAAAGGTTCAAAAGTGGATTTCCACCATAAGAAACTAGAAATTTCATTTCATTTTCTCATTTCTTTGCTGTTCCCAAGTGTGAAAGAGTCCAGTTCAGTAATCAACAGCCATTTATTAACTGCCTTCTCTTGGGCCAGCCCCATACCCTACTGGTTAGCCTCCATGGCCAGCCACTATTTGAATCTTGGCCCTGGTGGGTTTAAAAAACACCAGGTCAGGGCCAGCAGGTGGCGTGGTGGTTGAAAGTGGTGGACTCCCACTTGGCCGATCGTGGTTCAATCCTGGACCAGGTGGCTTCCTCTTACTTTCTTTCAAATTGGAAACTAATAATAAAGTTAAAATTCTTTTAAAAAATAGTCTAAAAAGAAAAACAAACAAGCAAAAAAACACCAGATGCTTGTGTGTGTATGCCCAAAGTCCCAGTAGGATGGAAAATATAGGATAGAGGAGAACATGGTGTGACCATGACTCATTAGGCAATACTTTCTCGCCTCCTCTCTCTCTCTCAAGTGCATGTGCCCTCTGACAATTAACAACAAAAAAATGCCTTCTGTTTGTGAAGTCTTATTGTCACCAGTAAAGTGACCAACCAGCCCGATTTCCCTGGGACTTTCCCAGTCTCAGGATGGACAGTCCTGAGTCCTAGGAAGCTCTTTAGTCCCAGACGACCCCAGAACATGTGGTCACCATTGATTTTTTTTTTTTTTTGGGAGAGATTTTTCACTGTAGGGCGCGTGCGCTCGCCAGACAGACAGAGAGAGACATAGAGACAGAAAGCGAGAAATCACCCCCCAGGGGGGATGGTCACGCCGCAATCCCTTCTCCTCCATTCTCCTCTCGGGATCTTGGGCACGCACGCACACGCGCCTGGCGTGAGTTTTAAGCCACCAGGTCCGGGACACGAACCGCGGTCGACTACGTGGGAGTCCAGCGACATAGTCATTACGCTAACTGCTGGTTGCCACCATTGACTATTCAAAGTGTTGAGTACCCTGTATGCAGCCTGCCTCTTGCCCTTAGGGAGCTTATAGTTCCCAGGGGCATGAGAAAGAATATCAACAGCCTCGGTTGCCTGGATTACCATATCAAATAGTTGATACAGATGATAACTATAGGGTATCAGAAAAGGGGACCGTATGTTACACAGATAAGAAATGAAAGTCCAAGATAACTTTGCTTCTAATTTGACTATTTTTCAATTTTGGCTGTAGGTGAACCAAACCACTTCTGGACATAGGTCCTTTCATTGCTTTTGTAATTTTATTCAAGACAATATACTTTCACTTGACACAACGAAGTATGGATGCTGCTTTTAAGAATACTTTGAGCCAATTCCACTGTTTCTTTTCCTTTTAAGTTTGTATAATATCTATGAACAAACCATCCTACTTTATTCCTGTTATGCATCAGATACTGTTAACTATATGATCTGGATTTGAAATTAACAGCAATTTCCAGCTAGGGGATGGGAAGAGGGTGATTGAGGACTTTATCTTTTGCTAGAATTTGGAGGTCCCTGCACTGATACCTGAGAAAGAGGGCAGAACACAGGAAACTATGGCTTCAGTATGTATCAGCATTGTCCCTAGATAAGGCTACTGCTTGACACAGTGCATCAGCCCGAGGAGTTCTCACTTCCCCTGGGGTTCCCTGGCTGCATCACCCCCTCCACCACCACCGTCCTGAATCCCTTGATCATATATATGCGTGCCCTATATTAGAGGTCTGGAATATCCGTGGTCCAGACTTTCTCCTATTCACCTGAAAAGGTGAGAATATGATCCTAATAAAACATTATGTCCCATATTGACTTCTCTTCTTTGCAGGTGGCTGCAAAATTCGGGTTCAGGGGGACTGGACCAGAGAGCGCCGCTTTGAAATCCCTGATGAGGAACACTGTTTGAAGTTCTTGTCAGAGGTCCTTGCTGCTCAGGAAGGTAACTCAAGACTCAGCAAATTTCTACTATTTCAGTGGGAGTGAGACACTGTCATGCTGATACAGAGGCAAGTGGCCATTAGCAAAATACCTAACCCCTTGAGCCCCAATAACCTTTTTTTTTTTTCTTTAGGTATGAACTCAGGGATAGGTTAGAGAACAACTCTATCCATCTTTAAGGACATTGAGCCAATTTCTAGAATCTTCAGTGTCATTGGCAAGCATATCTTATCATAGATTAATCCTGACCCCAAATTACCCCAGAGCTGCCCTCATTTCCTTAGTCTTTTCCATTGTATTCAAGAATGGTACTAGCCCCTGCATTAAAGGATGTTCAATTGATGGCTTTGGGTAAATTCCATTCAATGAAGGGCTCCCCAGTTTCTGATCATGATCCTTATCTCTCTAGCTCAGTCACAGCTTCTTGTTCCGGACCAAAAGGACTCGTCCAGCTGGTACCAGAAATTAGACACTAAAGACAAACCTTCCGTTTTTTCAGGTACTAAAAGGATTATTTTTTCCCCTGGTTCAGCTCATTGCAGTCATTAGATTTTATTAGGGCAATTGAGGTGGTAGGTATTAAAGTCGGTGTGAGACACATTTCTCCTGGAGAGTAGTTTTATCGAGTCCGTGTCTACTGACTACTGTTTGTTCCTGATTCTTTCTGTGGCATGATGGCTCTCTAGGAGCCAGTTTAGCAGAGTGGTAAAAAGTACAGGCTCCAGAGCCAGAGGGCCCGCATCGAATCACAAGTCTAGGACTTACTAGTACCCCGGTTATATTACTCAACAGCCTGTTGAGTCAGGTTACTCAACACCTCAGTTTCCATTTCCCTTTCTGTAACATGAGAAGGTTTTTAATAGTGCCCACCTCCATGGGGTTATTGTGATGATTAAGTGAGATAATGACATAATTCTTTACTATGAACCAGGCATTTGTGCTAAATCTTCACTAAATGTTAGCTGTTATTACTTCAGGTTCTAGATGAACATAAACCGCTGTTCTAATTAGCATGTCAGTGTTTCAGGGATAAACATGCTGCTTCTCCCAATCTAAGTGACTACTACTCTTATGGGATCTTTATGTAAATTGTGATCAAATCAAAGCCCTCTCTGCCCTGGATATATTGGATGTTAGCTTTCCCCCTCCTTGACTTTGGGTTCTGTGTCCCTCAGGGCTTCTTGGATTTGAGGATAATTTTTCAACTATGAGCTTGGACAAGAAAACAAATTCACAAAATCAGCCTATGGGGATTCATCGGGAGCCCCCACCCCCACCCCCAGCAATGAATAGAATGTAAGTTCTATGTCAAATCCTATTTCTCCTGTAGAAGACTTGTATTTTAGGCAGTGTTACTTTTGAATTTCTCATTTGCTAGGCTTCCACGTGACAAAGAAGCTTCTAGCAAGGAACAACCCAAAGTGACCAACACTATGCGGAAGCTCTTCGTACCAAATACTCAGTCTGGGCAGCGAGAGGGTCTCATCAAACATATCCTGGCAAAGCGAGAGAAAGAATATGTCAACATTCAGACTTTCAAGTTAGTCTCTCTTCTTCTTACTGAGTCAATGAAATTAGGAGTAGGAGAAAATGGCCTTTTGGTGTTAAATTTCATTAACAATCAAAGCATAATACAAAGGAATGGTCATCTGATTCAAGTCCCTGTTTGTATGCTTGTCAGTGATAAGCATCTCTGAAATAATGCAGATGCTACAATTTCCCTTGGATTTTTAAAGTACTGGGACCAGCAGGTAGTGTAATGGCTATGTCGCTGAATTCCCACGTAGTCTACCGCGGTTCGAGTCCCGGACCTGGTGGCTTAAACTCACGCTGGGCACATATGCGTGCGTGCCCAAGATCCCGAGAGGAGAATGGAGGAGAAGGGAGTGTGGCATGGCCATCCCCCCGGGGGGTGATTTATCGCTTTCTGTCTCTCTGTCTTTCCAGCTAGTGCACGCACCCTATAGCAAAAATCTCTCCCCCCAAAAAAGTACTACTAATGCCATGTCTACTAAAGTTTCTGTTCACTCTTAGAGAACCAAGTCAAGCTCCCATGTTCTAGAGAATTGTCCTCTAACACATTCCATAAGCAAGTGTGTTTATCTCTATGACCTGCTGAATTTTTTCCCAGCCAGTATTGGAAAATTAAAGTCCATCATTACCAGGGACCAGCAGGTGACATGGTGGCTAAGGCGCTGTACACTCCCACATGGCCGACCGTGGTTTGAGTCCTGGACCTGGTAGCTTGCTTCCTCACTTTCCCTCTCTTTCTCTTTTTCTCCCTATCTCTGGTCAAATTAAAATAAATAAATGAATAAATAAAATTAAATAATTGTTTTAAAAAAGTCCATCATTACCCCTAGATCTTTTTTCTTAGAATTATTTTTAACTTAACTTTATTTATTTATTTTATTTAGTTTTTAATTTGACCAGAGAGGGATAGACCGAGAGAGCGAGAGCGAGAGCGAGAGAGAGAGAGAGAGAGAGGGAAAGTGAGAAAGTGAGCGGCCAGGTCCAGGGCTCGAACCATGGTAGGCCGTGTGCGAGTCCAGTGCCCTCAACCACCACACCATCTGCAGGCCCCACCACTAGATCTTAACTTACTTACTTTTGATACATTGACTGAAGAAAGTTTCACCCAGTCCTCTTGATTGGGAGGTCTGTCTTCAGTTCTTTCCTCTATTGGTTTTCATTTTGCCTTTACTCATTGATAGCTTCTTTTCTGGACCTGATGTATGTGGTGTATTTTGAAGGAGGGGGTTTGTGATGTGGCATGGCATTTATCCCCAGTGTGCGAAGCAACACCACCTTTCTTTGTTGCTCATGAACAGAATGTACCCTTCTAGTCCAAGATTCCAGTCCCATCTGCTATCGTGTCATGCCTCATTTATTTTGATTCACTATAACTGTATCCCGGTGCTAAAATCTCCAGTTCCTCATATTCCTCACAATGCTTGTATTTGTGTGTAAACAGTTAAGACAGTCATGAGTCTTCCCTTCTGCTTTCCCCCTTTAAAACTAGATCTGCCTCATCAGAATTTCCTGCACAGATGTCCTTGTAATCCTTTGGGAAGTGAGTTTTGGATTCAGCTACAGCTCCTTATAGGACAGTTATCCATATTATACTAGTTTACAGCACAAAGCGTTTTCCCATCCATAAGTTCTTTCCCATCCATAAACCCTGCCTTCAAGCGTGAGTTTGCATGGAATATAATTGAAAATAAATGCGGTAGAGCAATTAACTTTGTGTCTTTAAATAGAGACTTGGTTCCTTTTTGTAGGTTCACTTAGTGTAAAATTTAGAGAAAATAAGTCTACTGCCCTTGTGTTATAGATGCAAGAGGTTATTCTTATGTGTGTTGTGAAACATTTTGAGGCATTGGGTTAGCTTATTCCGGACATACCTTGTATAGAAGTGACGAGAGGCCTTTCGTTGTTGGATATTTGATCTTTGTTCTCACTTTTTTTTTGGTATTATGTTATTAGATTCTTTATTGGGACATGGAATGTGAATGGCCAGTCTCCGGACAGTGGATTAGAACCTTGGCTGAACTGTGATCCAAACCCTCCTGATATCTACTGCATTGGGTAAAGAATACTTCTGGAATCTCCTTTTGACTTTATGTTTGGTATTAGTTTACATGAGATTTTACCTGCCTATTTTCCTTTTAAACTATAGGTGAAAACCTGCTGTAGACTATATGTGAGAGTTAACCTGCTCGTCAAATTTGTGAGATCTGAAAGGAACAGGGGCTTAAAATGGTGTATGGAGGCATCTAGTCCTCTCAAAACTCATAGGAAACTGAGTCCTATATAGAAAATGAGAGAAGGTCAAGTCTAACAAGCGAAGCTCTCCCACTCTCTCTTATGGGAGTTTTATTGCTGTTTATTTTTCGCATAGCCTGTGAAGATACTGGTCAGGATTCTCTGGAAAAGAGAACTACTTGTCCTAGCTGATAATCTAGGTAGCAGATTAATTATCCATGATTACAGGATATATTGGGTTGTTGGAAAAGTCATACTGTATTTTTGCATAGAAAAACAGAAAAATTCATCCTGACTTTTTTTCCAACCCGTTATATAGCCCTCACATCCTTTTTTCACTCAGATTCCAAGAGCTGGACTTGAGCACAGAAGCCTTTTTCTACTTTGAATCTGTGAAGGAACAAGAGTGGTCCCTGGCTGTAGAGAGGGGTTTGCATTCCAAAGCCAAGTATAAGAAAGTAAGCTGCATTTAATTACCTTTTTAAGAATATGACTAAGAGAACTCATGGGGAGTTATTTTATTATTTATAACTTATTCCAAAAGAATGATTTAATTCAAGGTTGGCAGGTGGCATGATGTTTAAAGTGCTGGACTCCCACATGACCAATTGCAGTTTGAATACCAGACCTGACTTTCTCACTTTCCCTCTCTTTTTCTGGTCAAATTAAACAACAATAATAATAAAATTTAATAAATAATTCTTTTTTTTATAGAAAGAAGTATTTGCTATAGGGCATGTGTGCTTGCCAGAAAGACAGAGACAGACAGACAGAAATTGAGAAATCACCCCCCAGGGGGGAATAGCCACGCCACGATCCCTTCTCCTCCATTCTGCTCTTAGGATCTTGGGCACACACGCACACACGCCCAGCATGAGTTTAAGCCACTGGGTCCGGGACTCAAACCGTGGTGAACTACATGGGAGTCCAGCAACATAGCCATTATGCTATCTGCTGGTCCCATAAATAATTTTTTAAAAAATGGTTTAATTGAATTCTTCCCTGTGTATAATATTGGACAGAAGAGACTAATCCTTCATACTTGCTTTCTAAAAAAAAAAAATTTTCTTACACTTTCCAATTCTATATTTTCATTGCTTAGATAGCTTTTAGGAGAAAAAAGAATTCATTGTTTTATTCTCAGTAACTAACTCAGAATAAGTCTATATAAGGTAACCGATTTGTGCAATACAAGTTTCATATTAAAACTGCTCACTGACATGGTCAGAATTGGGTGCTTTATAAAAAAGTAGTATAAAGCATGTGGGTACGTAGGGTATGTTTGGGAATTAGAGCAAGTTAGAAATGTTGGGGATTTAAACAAGTTCACAATGTGGTTATAAATCTACGGTTGACTTTAGCAAGGTGAGCCAATCTGTTGGACCTTAGAAGGCATGTAATAGAGACATTTAAGTACAAGAAGAGGGTTCCTCCCTCCTCATTTATTTATTTATTTATTTATTTATTTATTTGCCATTGCATGTATGTACTTGCCAGAGACAGAAACAGTGAGAAGGAAAGTGAGAATTTGACTCCCCCCGCCCCCCCGCCCCCCGGGAGTATAGTCACACCACAGTCCCTTCTCTTCTATTCTCCTCCTGTGATTTTGGGTATGCACACATGTTGCCACATCTGGGACCAGAATGGCTGTTGGCCGCGTGGGTATCCAGAGCCTTAACCACTACGCCACCTACTGTCCCTGAGAATTATTTTAGCTACAGGGCTACCATCCTAACTTTTGAGAAGGAAGAATCTGAGTAATTTTCTTCTACATC